AGCGGACACAACGCAGCTTGAGGAATACCTTATGGAGAAACTCTGAAAATATGAACGTATGTGCAGCAAGCGTATAAGCGTGAACGAAAATCATGGGAAACATGGGTTTAGAGGCGGTGAGAACATGAAGTGGAGGAGGATAATTAGAGACAAATGTAACTGTGTTAAAAAGTCTCTGAAATACAAAAAAAACTATATGAACACAATAGTAAATTCACCATTTTGGACCAGATACACAACATAACTAACTTTTGTCCTTGCGGGGAATTGATTTGCAACACTCCCCAGGTGATGGAGAAGTCCGAAGGCAAAACATCTCCGTCAATATGTGTGCGTCTCTCCCTCGTGGAGCTGACGGAGAAGCATAAATTAGGCTTTAGGGGTACAAGGAATAACTTCTGGGTTGCTCCTGTTTACTGGCTTCAGTTCTTAAAACAACTCTGGAGCTTTTTTCCTGCTTGTCTCAAATTACAAATGCCAGTGCACCAATTAGCTTGGTGCAGACTCTGCAACCTCACGAGCTCAGATTGTGAACAGTAACTACGTCCCTCTTTAGTTTTTTTGTAAGGAAAAAAACTGACATCCCCCCCTGCTGGCTGGGAAGAAAATCTGTTTCCATGTAACCTTCCTTCCAACACGATCGAGACGTTAGCTGTTTTGTGATTATTCCACTGTAGAATTCTTACAAGTTGTACGGAGCTGCTCGTGTTTCAAAGAAAAGCCCAAATGGAAATCGTCCAAAGTCGATGCCAAATCTATCTCAAATGAGCGTTGGTCTTTAGCAGACACCATCTTTGTAGTTTATCTCCATTGGGATAAAGCTCCTGGAGCGGGTACTGCATGCCTTTGTTATTTCTAGGCTTGACTACTGCAACTCTCTCTATGCAGGGTTGTGTCAGTCATCACTGCGCCACCTACAGGTTGTGCAGAACAGCGCAGCCAGGTTCCTGACTGGGACCAGGAAACAGGACCACATCAGTCCAGTTCTGTCCTCCCTGCACTGGCTTCCGGTTTGCTATCGCTCACAATTCAAAATCCTCATCTTTGTTTATCATTTCTTCCAGGGTGGTGGTCCCCCCTATCTGGCCACGCTCCTGAACAGACATTCCCCATCACGCGCTCTGCGCTCCTCTGACCAAGGCCTGCTCGCTGTCCCTCGTTCTAGGTGTCGTACCCGTGGGGACCGGGCTTTCTCAGTCCTAGCACCGTCACTCTGGAACCAGTTGCCACCCTCAGTTAGGCTGTCCCCTTCTCTGCCAGTCTTTAAGAGTCGCCCAGTAGCGGTTTTAGGCACGGGCGGACAGCGCAGTTGCCCGGGGCGGCATTTTTTCATGACACAAAAGGGGCGCACAAGCGCTGAGTAAAAAAATAAAAAAGAAAGAAATCTGCGCCGCACCGAGGTTTTCTACTCATCTGTCATATCACAGAGTGTGGATTGGAAACAGCAAGTTGGCGCCCCCTGCAGCTGCAGGCGCTCCTGCTGACTGAGAACATTCACGTGCTCCATGTGTTTATGAAGAAGAGGAAGGGGAGGGGTGCGGCGGGGGAATTCACCTCTGGGTCTTTCCCAAATGAAATGAGCGGGTAGGGGCTGAATCAACTGTATTAACATGGCTAAAGTCAGTCACATCTCGATGTTCTTCCATTTAATGCACACTTCATTCATAATATCATAAACACAGGCCTATCATTCTTTCAGGTTTCTCTGAATTGTGTGAAATGGCCGAATAAAAAAAGGAAAAACAAAACGATTTTGTGGTCACCCCCCCATCAAGGTCGAATTGTTTAGTCCTGACTAAAGGAAACTTACTGAGTCAGGAGCCAAACAGAAGAGATGAACATAAAAAGGCTAAAACCACCAGGTGCCCCATTCAGGGGGAAAAAAAGAAAAAAGAGGAGAAAGATAAAGGTATGTAGCTCTCATGATGCATGTTTTCATTTTTTAACCAGTTAACTGGGATTTTAATGGTTAAATTCGGTCAACTAGTTGCTAACAGAGCTAATAGGGCTGAAATATTGAAATTAATATACAAATGGTTCAAAAAAATTCCTTCAATCATTTTTTACTGATTCAAACTAGGATTTGTTAAATGCTCGCTGCAGCCTGTGGCCTGCCTGAACAACAACAAACACATGTTGATCATGTTCACATAATAATAAATAAAACAACTCTACAAGCAGAAGAAAACTCCCCAGTCACCACCAACTATCCTGTTTATTTATTGCAGATGGCTGCACTGATTATTTTTACATGATTTGTTCTGTAAAAGTTGGCATTTTTGGTAGTCTACAGTTTTATTTATGTCAGTTTAAATTACAATTTCAGAGGCAATTCTAAAATATTACGGATCATGAGATCTATTGGAGATCTACCCCAACTTTTGGACTGCTCTGCCAGTCACTGTGGCTCCAGCTGAGAGGAGCTTTTCAAAACTTGATCAAGTCATACCTGAGGTCACCTGTGTTTCAGGGGCGGCTCGCTCACCTGGCTCTGATTAGTATCAATCACTCAGTAGGGGAGCAGATTTCATGTGATAACATTATTGATGACTTTGCATCAAGGTTAGGTTTTAATTTTAGTTTGTGTTTTCTGTTCTAAGTGCAATGCTGTAGTGATTATCTTTAGTTTGTTATGTGTGAAATATTTTTGCTATTTAGAATATTTATTATATATTATGTTCATATATTCTTAATTTTTAGTTATTGTTTGTTTTTTTACATTCTGACAGCTTCATAGCAAGTCACCCCCTACCAGATTCTTACTCAACTCCCACTTCCTGTTTGAAAAATGCAACAAATGCTGTTGCCTAGCAGACCGAGAGGGTGGAGCCGCTAACAAATACACACACTCACGACATTGCAACATCATAATGTACCTCTTAGCCAATAGCGACGGCAGATTTAAATTCAAATGCAGTGCTGAGTTTTTACCTGACGACGGTGGAACACTGACAGTTTTAGGCTGAACATTTAAGATGCACTAAAGTGCCGAATTATTGACTACACATATCTGCAGCACGATCAGACACTCATTTATATAGTTTATCAGGAAAAAAATGTTGATTTGGAGTGACTTGCTCTTTAATGTAAATATGTGCAACTTAGAAAAATGAGTGTTCAATGGTTGTTCTAATAAAACATGCCTGTTTGTAGAAAACATGCGTGTGTGCGTGCAGGTGGGGTGGTGGTGGTGGTGGTGGTGGGGGGGGGGGCGCTCAAAGGGGGCCTCGCCCAGGGAGTAATTCCATGTAGAACCGCCACTGGAGTCGCCTAAAAACCCACCTCCTCCGCTTGGCGTTTCCTGAACATGTTTGCTTTTGGCCCTCGTTTACGTTGAATTTATTTCACAGTTTTCATTGGTTCACTCTATCCATTGTTTTACCCATCTGTCCTGTACCAGAATGTTTCACCTATTTTGTAATTTGTATTTTGTCATTTGTATTGCTTTTATTGTTGATTTATTCAATATATTTACCTACAACTGTACCATGTTCAGCGCTTTGGGCTTCCTGACAGGGTTGCGGAAGGCGCTTTATAAATAAAGCTTTGATTGATTGATTGATTGATTGATTGATTGATTGATTGATTGATTGATTGTAGCACCCAACAACTGCAGATTGTTGTGATTGGCCAGACACCAACCAGGTTTAGCCAAAGGAAGACCTGCTGAGGCTTGAATGAAACATGGCTAGACCGGCCTGCAGAGCAAAATCTGTTTGCTACTGCTACGGTTAGTGGGCTAACAAATTAATAAATCCAACTACCATTTTATTTTTATTGTGGGCGATGGTGGCTCAGGAGTTGAGCTCGCCCCGTAATCGGAAGGTTGCAGGTTTGAGCCCCACTCGGTCTGTCGCTGTCCTTGCCTGCTGGTGGTGGTCGGACGGACCGGTGGTGCCTGTGCACGATAGACTCGCTTCTGTCAGTGCGCCCCAGGGCAGCTGCGACTACATTGTAGCTCATCATCACCAGGGTGTGGATGTGTGTGTGAATGGGTGAATGACTGATTGGGTTGTAAAGTGCCTTGGGGGGTTCCAGGACCCTAGAAGGCGCTATATCAAATACAGTTCCCATTTCTTATATTTTACATTGCAGCCGTTGGCCGGTTCAATTCAGTGTCTGAATAATCTGGTATAATCTGAATAATCTGGTCATGCTGCCAACACTCCTACAACTTCATATGCATTTGGCATGCTTCTTTACTAAAGATAAAAGACAGAGGAACTCTTATGCGATGCTATTTTCAGCTACTGATTGTGTCACGAACCCTATTAGCATAGAAAAGAACCGTGTAATAATCTTCAAATGACGAGCTGTAAAAGGATTATTTGTATAAATGCAACTGCGGTGTTGTCTCCATCACATCATGAGGTCAAGTCCCGTTACGGCCATGACAGGCTTCAACAACAACCCCTTTGTTTCATGTTTTCTTCTGCGTGGCTTCCAATTTCCTCAATTCAAAGGGTGAGTGTTCTCAACCTGCTGACCTCGAAACCTCCTGCAGATGTCGGAGCCTTTCTGGTCTTTGTGGCCGAACACATGCCACATCCTGCCCCCACGTGACAGCAGCCCCATTCCCCAAATAAATTAACTATATTAGGGTATTTTACATTGCTGGGAGGTGGAGGCCCAAGAGCTGCACCAGTGTTGTTTCAAAGAGGAGCAATTACCCAAAGGCAGGCAGGGCGAATCAGTTCCTGCAGACTTTTCTTTAATGCTGTTGGCCAATTACAAAGGGAGGATTTCATCCCTGTATTGTGTACCTGTGGGGTAACCATCACCAACGGGTGGGGCTGAGCCCATCTTTAATGGGTTTTATTTCTTTTTTATTTCCTTTAGCCTGTAGCTCTGTTTTTGTCTGCTCCATCAGTACTAAGACATTTCAATTGTCACTGAGGGGCGCTCCCCCACCTCCCTCCGCGCATCACACCCCACGTGATCATAACCAGCTGCTGGTGAGAGAGGGAGAGAGAAACACCAAGTGGCTGCGACTCTGAACGCACCACAGAGTGAACGGGAGGACCGCTGCTCGGATACTACTCCCCCGCTGCCGCCGTCTCCAGACCCAGCCTGTGGGATTCCGGCTGCATCTCTTCACTTTTGCATCTTACCCCCCCCCCTCCCTCCCCATCACCAGTTACTTTTATTTTCCATCGTTTCGCTCCTCTCTTCAGCATCAAGTCCCCTCACTAACTTTGTTTCCCACATCACCCTCCTCCATCACCCTTTTTTATCATTACTATCCCTGACTGCAGCTTCCCGTCGGATCTGGGCGGAACACCGTTTGACCGGTCGACCCAAACCGGGGCACTGCTACATGGGGCGCACGGTCTCGCACGGAACATGTTCTGCTGTGGGTCTTTAGGCGCCCCGCGGAACCTGTCGGGTTTGGAGCTACCGTTGCGCGTCTTTCGCGGCCAGTGAAAGATGGGTCTGTTTGTGGCTGCGCAGGCACCGCCTGAGGAGCGCCGACGGCTGCGCCGGTGGGGCGGGACGGCGGGAGGCTGGCTCAGGATCACCCTCGTTTCCTTTCTCGCTACTTTACCTGTGGAGCAGCTACGCGCCTTCCCGTCCTCCCTCAGTGACTGCCAGACGCCGACCGGCTGGAACTGCTCCGGTGAGAGTCATTCCTCTTAGGCAGAGTTGCTGCTTTTCTCACGGCTCTGCACGAACACCATTTAAACTTCAACCGTCATTGCTAAACACAGAATGTCCGCACCAGCTGGTTATTGTGCTTCATTTTTCTGGCATCCTGGTGAGTGGAGGAGGATCCATGCTGCGGGTTCCCCCCCACGATGCGGCCAGGCTGCAGACTTCTCTTTGGTGTTGGGTCTCTTGAGTCCTGTTAGTCGTGCAGCTTCCAGCTCAGAGGAGAAACAGCGCGTTTAGGAAGGATGCTGGACTTACGCATAGCGTGAATAGCACGGGGTTCACGAGGATGCTGGGCAACTTTCACATCCTGGTCACCTTATGGACGTCTCGTCCGCATCATTACTCAGACTGAGCATTAAGTTTAGTGCACGAGCCAACTGGAATATATAAATCTAGCTTTACTGCGCGCCAGATGTTTCATAAAACAGATTTTTTATACCACGGAGCTGTAAACTCGTTTTTCTTTCCTTCTCTGCACCCTAAACCCTAAAAACAAACCAACAAATAAATAAAAGCCGCGTGCCGAGCTGCAGCTCTGCGCCTCGTCGCCATATATTTCCCCTGTCGCCCGTCCAAGTCTGAGCCCCTAAAATAGCTCCAAGCCGATCACACACACACACACACACACACACACACACACACACACACACACACACACACACACACACAGCGGTATTGATATGATGGCTCTTCACATCCAGACATCGATACGGAGTCATGGTGCCATTTGCAGCTTGAAGAGTTTGCCATCGTTAGAGTTGGCATTTCACAGAAAGGAGAAACATCTCGATGTGTTTCATCTGTATGATCAGAATGTTTTAGTGACTGGCTGCTCCTCTGGTGGCTTTAATGATGAATTTATCTCTGACTGCCCAGAAACCAGGAAGAAAAGTTTGAACTATTAATTTCTGACAAACATTTGGGTCAAGCTTCATCAAAGCAAAGAGATTAGTAAAACATATATTTTCCAAAAGATGCAACGAATGCCAATCCCGGTGATGGATGAGCTAATTTGGTTAAACATATTAGTTGTATTTTTCCGGTGGTTCAGCCTGGTAATTGATCATTTTCAGATACACCCTCAGATTATCTCCATCCCACATGTGTATGGTATTGTGCCAGAGCTTCATTCTGTGCATGCTGTCGATGCTGGTGATGGTTTTTAGCATGTACAGTAATGACCGATAATGGTACCCATCCTGCCCTAATACACACTTGCCCTCCCACCCACTTCCTGACACACACTCGTGCATTTCGGCGAAGGCTTTTATCCAACACGCCTTGAGGAGGCTTAAGTGCAGAAACTGAGAAGAGTGTGCACAGACGTATACACTCACACCAACACCAACGTGCATCTAAGGATCAATCAGAATAAATCATAACAAGTTGTTGTCCAGAAGGAAAAAAAACAACAACTAGATAGGGCACTTCCAGCTGCATCGCATTAATAAACCAGCAATAATTCCAGGCCTTAATTATCGATTTGTGTGTGCGGATGAAGCGTTTTAGCACTAATGTGCAACACCTTTCCCTTCAGACATAACGAGTGACTGGAAAATGAGTTGGTGTTGAGTTCAGCGTCACGTTTTGTGCTAAGACAAAGGAAAATAAGGCAGCACTTGTAGCTGAGCTGCATTTGAGAAAGATGGAAGGGGTGTTTATGTATTTAGATGATTTGCAGCATGACCACTGAAGCTTTTCATTAAAGCAGACCTTTAGATAGATTCAGACCTCGATTCTGTAAGTGAAGCGATAGACATGAAATCAGATTTTGTCTCTGGAATAATGTCTAAAGGTTTGTGATAATCGTGAACTCTAAACATACTGATTTGGGATCATTGTGATACGTCAGCCCTGACTTTAGGTATTTCGTATCATTTGGATCACAGAATGCTCATTTTTGCAGTTTTATCCATTCATACTGAACTAAACATGCTCCATAATCTGTGATTGTTGCTCGAATTCGCTCCACATGATCCTTCAAACATCCTCAGCAGGAGATTGAACTGGTTTGCATGCAAGCCAGTCAAGCAGTACCCATTCAGCGTCCATGGAGCCACTCTGGTATCGTCATGCTGACATAACTACGGGCCTCCAGGGAAAGAGCGCTGCCTTGATGTTAGCGTATCCCTGTGATGTTGTGGCTGTTTCATCTATGTGCCAAAATATCAAAATGAAAACTTCACTTGCTCACAAATAAACAAGGCCCAGCAAAATATTAAAATTAGTAATGGCTTTGTTCCACGTACTGTCCTTCAGGGTCTTGTGGTGCACATGGCAGTGCACCATTCGTTTTGTAAAGGAAACATGACTTCTTCTTCTGCATGAGCATCGATTTACTGATCAAAGTATTTTCAACTCTGTTAAAGCTGCTGTAGCGAATCTACAGAACGGGATAGGTTTGCACAGTAATGGATCACCCACACCTCCCCTCGGGTATCGTCCTTGAGGCGTCTCTGCCAGCGGAAACGAGAGAGCGCTAAACACCAGTTGCTGTTTTCCAGGTCCAAAAGTCTTTTGTTGTCCGTGACTTCACAAGGTGTTTTTCCTGAAGTTGAAGTGGTAGCAGCCGGCTGTTTCTCCTTCTCTGATATTATTGAGTGGAGAACCTCTCACACCAGAGGTGTTCTGGTGCTAAATACACAAGTGTGTAATGAGTGGAGGACCCAGGGAAGTGCGGTGTTTCGAAAAGACCGACAACCAGAAGGTCTCATAGCTTTTGAGTCCGAGCCATGTTACTGGCTGAGGATTTTAGACAAATCCGAGAGAACCACTTTAATCCTTTTTACTATGTTAGAATGTTTGTTAAGAGACATGAAAAAAAAAGTTTCAAGCTTATTTGTTTTCCAAATTTGCCATTGCAGCTTTAAGACAGGAGTCAGTGAACGTTCTGTCTCACACAAGCAATAGCCTAGAAATCTAGATAGACCGCCGCAGAAGCAAAACGCTTTAGCTTTGCAGGGCGGTCTAGCCACGCTCCATAGGAGCCTCAGCACATCCACCACTGGCCCAAACAGTCTCACTTCTTGCCAATCACAGCTCTCTTATCGATTTTTGTGGGCGGGATGTTACTACGACTGAGTTAAAAAACAAAGATGGCGGCGACTTGTTTGAAACAACTTTAGCATCAGCCTTAGACTCAAGAGCAGATAGAGGTACTTACGTGTCCCGCTGACCATCTGTAGCGGTCAGTCCGCCACATGGTTCATTGTCCAATAGCATGCAGAGCAGCCTTAGATTCCGCCTGATGACTGAGATCTGTCTGTGGGTTGTGGTCATTCACTGTTAAATGATCCCAACAGATGCCTTTTTGTATCTGCTGCCACACCGCTGTTCCTCTTTATCCTAAAGTCTGTGTGTTGACCTGATGGCTGAAGTGGCAGTGATAAGTGTAGAATAGGCAAAGCTTCCTATAAATCCCATCCAGGGATGAGATTTACCAGAAGTCTGCAGAGAATTGGCCATCTGGCTCCAAGATTTGTTACTGCAGTGGTCAAAAGCAGTTGTCTTGCATGCAGGTCAACACTCCTGACAGTAAACAGTAGCAGTAATGAGTTATAAGACAAGACAGGCCTCTTGCTGTCTAATCAGACAAGGATCTACGGGTAACAGTTCAGCCATGAGGTTCAAAGTTGTGTAACGTAAGGAAATCTTCTCGGATTGATTCATCTATTTTTAGAACATTTACTTTTCTTTCACTTCTCCCAGCCGGACTTGGAGGTAACAGAATGTATGAAAACCTGTTGCAGAGTTATATAAAAATACCCCCCAGCAAGAGAGGGGTCAAGAGAGGATGTCTCACTGCTGTGCTTGTTCAGCCTTCATTATTAATTTAGCCTGCTTAATTATTGATCAGCATAATGCTTAAAACACCAAAGGAGTTGTTCTTGATCTTTTTAAGTGAAGCGAAATTTCAGGTAGATGGAAGAGGATGCATTTGGCTGACAAGATCTCTCTTTTAGACAAGAAAGTTCTTCCCATGCCATCTTAATTGTTAGCATATAAACCACCCATTCAATACTTGATGTTTGGCAGCTTGTTTCGGTTAATTATTTAGTTTACTGTAATCTCCTCCTGGAGCAGCTGAGCAGGAGCAGGAAGTATACGATTTCCTGGCCTCCGACATGCTGCACACAGGTCCTGCTGAGAACTCGTCTCTGTCAGGCACTTTTAACGTTTGGTGGAAGACAACACGAGAGCAGCACACCTTGGCTCACACAAAGGCAACACAAAATATCTTGGCATGTAATCTGAGGTACGCCTCATAAAGGTCCTTCTAAAACATTAGCACATTGTGATGAAGTTCATTATTGTCTGTAATGTACTGATAAACATTAGACTTTCATATATATTAGATTCATTACACACAACTGAGGTAGTTCAAGCGTTTTATTGTTTCTAATATTGATGATTTTGGCGTACAGCTCATGAAAACCCAAAACTCCTATCTCAAAAAATTTGCAGATTTCATCCGACCAATAAAAAAAGGTGCTTTTAATACAACAAAAGTAAACCTTCAAATAATTATGTTCAGTTATGCATTCAATACTTGGTCGGGAATCCTTTAGCAGGAATGACTGCTTCAATGCGGCGTGGCATGGAGGCAACCAGCCTGTGGCACTGCTGAGGTGTTATGGAGGCCCAGGACGCTTCGATAGCGGCCTTAAGCTCATCCAGAGTGTTGGGTATTGTGTCTCTCAACTTTCTCTTCACAATATCCCACAGGTTCTCTACGGGGTTCAGGTCAGGAGAGTTGGCAGGCCAGTTGAGCCCAGTAATACCATGGTCAGTAAACCATTTAGCAGTGGTGTTGGCGCTGTGAGCAGGTGCCAGGTCGTGCTGAAAAATGAAATCTTCATCTCCATAAAGCTTTTCAGCAGATGGAAGCATGAAGTGCTCCAACATCTCCTGATAGCTAGCTGCATTGACCCTGCCCTTGATAAAACACAGTGGACCAACACCAGC